TTTTTATCCCTTTTGAAATTTCAAATAACATCAGAAAAGCATTTATTTTTAATGAAAGAAATAATCAAAAAGTTGAAAAAGTATCGGGTAGGGGTAGGGAGGGCTTTATTGTCCCAATAAGGTGGCATCAATTTAATAATTTGAATTAAAATTTAAATTTACACTCAATAAGTTATTATTGCATACTGTTTTGTAATGTACTACAATACTGAGGTGCAGATAATTGCCACTATTTGCAATAAGTAGTATTAATAGCAGAAAATCCTGCTATTTTAACATAGTGTAAATATAATCTATAGCTATTTGCACTTAGTGTAAATAATATCACAAACAAATCCTGCTATTTTAACATAGTGTAAATAGCCTCTATCGCTATTTACACTTATTGTAAATAGCCGCTGCCTTTTTACCATGTATAACGTTACAGTACGCGATTACAGGGCATGTACACAAACCACAAACTCGTGAAATGTACGTTTGCTAATCTTGCAACACACTTTGGCGTCGCGGTCAATACGGTTAGATAATGTTCTCAAAAACCGTATCCGTAATAAAAACAGTAAAGGCTGTTAAAAATCATTCAAATGGCAGATCAAAGGCTATTTTGTACTTGTGATCCGTTTTTTTTTTCAACGGGTCTGGTTTCGATTAAAGCAACTTGAAGGTAAAAAAACACACGATTGCGACAATATGATTTGTTTTTTATTTTTCAAGTCATCTCGGGGTATTTTCACAATGATAAAGTTTATGAGTAATGAAGTTCTTAATGACTGCCTCTAACTTACTTAGGCCTTGTTTCTGCCTGTATTCTGGTATTTTTTATTGTTTATGTGTACATTGTATAAAGTCCATTATGAAGTGATGAAAGTGTTTGTAGTACATATACCAATCATAAAATTGTCATAAAGAAAATATGGGGAAAAATAGAAATTAGTGGTTGTTGTTTAGCAATGTATTTGATTTTAATAAAAAAAAAATTGTTATTGTAGTTCATTGTAGGACAACATTTTTTGTTTTCTAGTTCTGTGTCTTTGTTCCTCCATCAGCTTGTTAATTTAAATGATAGGAGTGATTAGATGTACTCTCACCAGTTTTAGTGTAGTGTTAAAGAGCATGAATAATGTATGGACGCATATAGGTAGCGAAATTCAATTTAAAATGCAATATGCAAAATGGCAATGCAATATTCAAAATGGCATTGTATTTCTGTATTTAAATGTACATTTTCCATTACCCATACATGCAAAGTTTGGTGCAAAAGTAAAATGAAAATTAAATTATATAATTTACATTTGCCATTTCCAACAGTAGTCTTAATATGTAAATTGCATGCAAATTTGAACGATTTATAAGTTGCGAAATGAAAATGTATAACACAAATTGATTTGATATGTGTAACATGTTCAAGCAGAAATGGTAGCAAAATTATCATTTAAATGCTATTTGTCCTAAATGCATTTAGACTAACAGTTAGAACACTTAGGATTGCATTTTCATCATGACGCCGTGGGATATGTGTAGCAAAATTCTATTTGAAAATGCATTTCGAGCTGACCACGCCCACCTTCCGTCAATCATTGCTTCAAGGCAGGGATTGGCGGAAGCGTGTTACGTTTGGATCGTTTGAAACATGGCGGCTGGAGATCTGATAAGATCGTCGAATTCACTGGCAGATGAAGTGGAGCGTGAACAGAGAAATATATGAAGCGTATTCCATGCT